TGGGCCTGCAGCCCTGGACAGTTAGGCAATGGATTTGTGTTTTTTTAATAAAAAATAAAAATCTATACAACCTAAAACTATACAGTAAACTTTTATATTGATCTCGTACAGTGATTTATGAATTAGTTTACGGCGTCTAAAAGGTATATATTGATTTAAATATCTCGGGATTATAATCCTTGTTCCATAGCTACGTTCCATATATAGCGTCCCAATATTTAGGGATCATGTTCTCATCTACGAACCAATCGTTTCGAAGAGATACCCTTAACGATTCGGAAACTTAAAATTATCGATCCATGTCATACGTACCCCGTTCCTTGTACCGGGAACTTTGTGAGTGTGGGTAAAAGATCATGGGAGGGTCATGAAGATATCAAGCAAAGCATGTTGGGATATCAAGCAAAGCATATTGGGATCTGGGGCAGGACGCTATTGGAAATGCTCCTTTTGCGATTTGGTGCAAACGGAAAGATGTGATGACTGGAGGTGTGGTTTTGTCAGTGTACAGTGCATACAGCCATACAGGCAGTAGGAATACGATCATCGGATCATGGGAGTTCTCAAAAGGAAGATACAGATAGGATATTTTCAATCCTAGGAGAGGAGGTTTCCGGAGGATACCGAAGCATATTGGTGTGTGCATCTGATAGCAGCAAAGATCTCTCAAGTGCACTGGATCTTTGCTTTTGATGAATCCTTTTCGCTGGGAGCATCCAACACTCAACTCTCTCTCTCTCTCTCTCTCTCTCTCTCCCTGACCCAATCCCAACTTCCCAAGTGCTCTTGGTGCCGGGTGAGCCAAAAACTGCGTAACGGTACGTCTTATTGTTTCAATCGATCAGTAACATCAAAAGTTCCCAATCACACAATACAGTGAAATGTGAAACCATTTGAGCTCCCCCTAACGCTTTGTTTGTTTCATACTAATAACTAATGCGTAATTGTGCTCACTGCTCAGGCGGGCCCAGCTGCGCGCGGCTAGGAGGAACTACTATTCCATCATCCTCGCCATTCTTCTTGCAACAAACGCATGTCCACAACTCGCAGTGTCCGTGATGGTAGCCCTTTCCATCTACGCCCTGGCACTTGTCGACACATCGCTTGTTCTTCACGCAGTAGTTGTCCCACAGCCGGTGTCTCCGGGATCGTCGTCTCCCTCGAGCACTGGTGACAGTTTTGCTGCTGCACCAGCGAAACGAATAATCGATCAAGCTCATAAAAGTCAATCAGTTTAACCATTTCACCGACCATTTATTTCATTGGTTACCAAAACATCGATGAGGTATCCAGGCATCAGAGTTTCGGAGAGAAGATATATATACCTGATGACAAGGCAATCAGCATCAAGAGGCAAAAGCACAGCAAGGCCTTGTTTGTTGTTCCTGCCATTGCTTTCTAGGACACTTGCTAGATCTGCAGTGTACTTAAGCTGCAGGTTGGGATGGGTATATATAGTCAAAAGGTTGAGGCTGTATAGATGGCAGTGCGCCCTGAAGATTAATGTTATCTAACAAGTGTTCATCCTGGTATGGTGCATGAAACCGCCCTTCATCAGTTAATAATGGACCAGCTTATTATTTCCGGGACATTCCTGTGGGCGGTACGAACGCTGGTTTATTTGGAGGATTTTTTTTATTGTGTATATAGCAGAATTACTGCCCTACGTGATCCTATTCGCTGCAAATCAAGATTGAATTGGCTGCAGTCCTGTAGATGTCTTCAGATGCCAAACCTTGCCATTCATACGTTAGTAGCAAACAATTCACAGCCTCAACCTTACAAATATTACTCCATCCATTCTAAATTATTGGTCACTTCAGTTTTATCCTAATTACACTTTTCTATTTTTAACTAAATTTCAAGAAATGTATTAACATCTACTGTTTCAAAGAAATGCATTATCAAGACATATTTTATGGAGAATTTAATGAAACTAATTAATGTTGCAGATGTTGCTACAATTCTCTATAAACTTAGTTAAAGTTAGATAAGTTTAACTTAAAACAAAATTAAAGTGAACTATATATGGAACAAATTGAGTACTAGCAAAGGATTCATAAGTTAGTATTTAAAAAAAACGAATCAAACAAAAGAGCAACCGATTATATTAAAATATCCTAGATTGGGAAGTACGCCAAAACAATCACCCAATGGGTAAACTCAACAACAACAGTGACAATGAAAGAGACCAAGCAACAACTAAAAGTTTTGGCCGAGTTAGAATGGGACCTCAACACAGTCAAACAACAACATTGTGGTCTCGCGAATTGTATACCACTAATCTAACACTCCACAAGCTCCACACGACTGCTTACCGGTCACCACACTGCACCGCCAGCACTGGCGGCAACACCGTAAAGTCGAAACGCCGTCGTCACCACTTGTGTCTTCGCTATTAGTCGTGATCTATTGCAAGCCATATAATTACCAAGCTTGTCAGATCTGCTCATATGAAACACTTCTAACCGAATTATCCGAATAAATTCAGCAATGCAACATCCAATAGTTTCATCGTCCAAACTATCCGAATGATATTCAATAGCATGCATATTTGGACCATGTGCTCTATGAATGTCAAGAGAATCCTTCAAACGAGTTTCAACAGCAACAACCTTTTGCAGCAAGTGATTAACGGTAAGAAACTGATTATGTTCAAGTTTTTCTTTAATATTGGAGTGCAAACCGTGAAGAGCCAAATCAATCAAATCTTTTTCCGAAATTGCTAAATGAAAGCATCAATTCTTAATGTCTCTAACGCGTTTCACATAGTCAAGGACAGATTCATCACGCCCTTGTTGAACCGATGTTAGATGTGAAAATTTAGTTCCAGTAACTCTATTATAAAAATGCTCATGAAATCTTTATTCTAAGTGAGCCCAGGAACTAATGGAACAAGTGCGTAAAGACATAAACCAAGAGAAAGTCGTACCAGTAAGAGACAAAGAAAAATATCGAACATTCATAAAATCCTTCACCCATTTGAGTAAGAAACAAGCTAATGTGCTCCATAGTAGATTTACTATCTTCACCACTAAATTTATAAAAATATACGGTACCCTCCAATCATCAGGAGCTTTCAAGAAATCAAAATGTGAAGGGTACGACTTATGATATGTAGTCCTACTTGGCTTAATTTGCACACCCAAGCCACTTTCAATAGATTTGGATAATACATCCCTAAACCGATTCAAAGACTCATTAAAATCGGTACAAGGAGCCACAAGTGCACTATTAAGCATAGAAATCTGACTCAGTAGTGACTTCGGTAGGTTAGGATGAACCATATTGTACCCCATCGAAGACCGGTTCATTGCTGGTTCGTTATCGGTTTGCGTGTTATGAACCAAATTTGAAGCAAAAGTGACAATCGACATAGTTGTACTAACCCCACCTAAATTGGCCTTATCGGTTTCGGTCGTAGTTGCTTCATACATGCTTTGATTCTCATAAAAATTGCAAGGCATGCCATATTGAGGTTGCGTAGAAGTTGATTCGCTAGCAGGTGCCTCAGCATAATCGATTTCTTACCCTCTAATCTATCAAAATGTGACATGGTCATATTAACGACGGTCATAAGATTGATATCATTAATTGTCCTAAGATCTTGCAACATCTTAGCATAATCAACATGAGTAGGGTAAGTATCGTCTACCTTTTCACTAAACTTTACCTCCGATGCAGCGGATGTAGAATAAAGTGGAGGGATCACCGAAGATGGGCTCACGGTATTGGATAACCTTAATTGCCCCGCCGATCTTTAGTGTAGCTCGCAAGGACCCCTAGATCGGTAGAAAGCTTGGCTTGAATCTTCTGGCAAGGGTCCTCGTGAAGCTCCTCGATTGATGTTGGGTTCCGGATGTTCTCCAAGTTAAAGGGATCGGTTGGATCACCCTCCTTTGTCTTACTGCCATCCTACATATTGCTAGTAAATGCATTCTTCTTCTTCTTCTTCCCCAACGGAGACACCAAAAGTGTGTTGACTCCGAATCGGATCACACACAGCAAGTGTTAGACGCCCGAGGTTGCACACAACCTGGCACACAGCAAGAACGTAGTAAATCAGCGAGACTAGCTGGCAAGTTGGTCAGACCGATTCAACGCTCGTTTTTCACTTGGGTCCCGTTCGGCTTACCTTATAATCCGCACTATTCAGCTTGTTTTTTTCAGCCGGAACATTGTTTTTCTCTCACAACAATTCAGCCAGAACAGTGTTTTCAGCCAATTCAGCTAAGTTTCAGCAAGCCGAACGAGGCTTTGGTAGACTCCTGAACACCTCTTGGGAAGACCCGTTGCGAGGGGCACAACGAAGTTGCTCTAGGATTGGTAAGGCCACGTAGAACACCGCCAAATCGATCTCGTTGAGAGACATGATGAACAACAAAGAGAGTTAGGGCAAAAGGGGCAGTAGATGTGTTCTTTGACGATTGAAAGTTGGATTCCTCAATCGATCATGACCCTCTCGTTTATATAGAGGGGGTGATGTTATCCCAGCAGAAAGCATCTTCAAGACGCAATCTTCAAGTTTTCCACGACAAAAAATAGATCAAAACCGAGTTGAGAAACAAACCGGACTCGGAACAAGAAAACCGCCCCTCTCGAGGTCGGGCAGCTGTGTCGAGCGGTGCACATTAAAACCAGTCTGGCTGGTTTAGTGAGCCTGGCCAGTTTTGGCAGAATTGGCCCAAAACCGTATTTTCTTTGTTCGGATTTTAACTTTGTTGTTCCAAATATATTTCTTCAATATCTTGACGCCAGGAACTTGATGGTAAAGTCCAATATTCTTGTTTGCACATTTTTACTATCAATAAATAGTTCCTCCAGTATTTGGGGTGATAACACTTATAATATAGCTTATTATTTCTCAATCGATGATATCAAGATAAAGTTGCCCAAGCGCTATACTCCCAAACCTTCTGACCTAAGCTAGCTCCTTAGGTACCAGTTTTATTGCCACGCAAACGCACGCTTTGTTTTTATTCATATTTCCCACATAGCCCTTACGGCCTACAGCAGAGGCAGAATATGTGTAAACATCTCCAACTGTTGTTGTCAGGATCATCATTTAAGCATGGCTTCCTGCAGTTGTCGCTCTTCAAGCAGCCAAGGCCAACCGCCGGCATGCAGGTCCTCGCGTCCGACATAGTGATCTCTTCTGCGCCAGTGAAAATGAATCGAACTGTAAATTATTTGGTTCTTCGTTACCAAAAGATCTGTGACAATTTTTACCTGATGACAACGCAATCAGCATCAAGAGCCAAAAGCACATAAAGGCCTGGCTTGTTCCCGCCATTCTTTTCTGCTTTGTTTTTCAGTCTTTATTTTGAGCTGCAGGTTACGGTAGGTCTATATATATATATATATATATATATATATATATATATATATATATATATATATATATATATATATATATATATATATATATATATATATATATATATATATATAGTCAAGACGGGGGATAAATTGGCGATGTAATGAAATTGGAGGATTTCTATAGAAAAAATCAATACACGCGCTCCATGATCGTACACTTTGTAGTACTAATTAATGTCTTCCTTGGCATGAGATGTCTTCTAATGTATACCACAAATTCTCACTAAATCAGCTATTGGTAGTAAATACTCACTCTGTTCTAAATTATAGGACATTTAGCTTTTCTAGATACATTGCTTTTGCTATGTATCTAGCTAGACACAGTATATATCTAATTACATAACAAAAACTATATATCTAGAAAAGTCAAAACGTCTTATATTTCAAATGGAGGGAGTAATTCGTAAGTTTTACCATGGGAGGTCATTGTACCACAACACAGTAGCACCATATTGCAGTTGGTAAAAAATCTCTAACAAACAATTAGTTGGCAATTTGGTAAAATTGGAAGATTACGAATAAGCTAGTGATCCCCGCTCCTATTTCTCTATGGACCGAGGAGAAAGAGGGCTCGACAGAAAGAGAATTGTACCATAATAGAAGCACAGAGGTCAACACACTTCAAATATCGAACATCGATTCTGGCAATGCAACAGAGTTTGGTCTCCGTATCAATCTGAATGTTTTGTCTTTCTAAGTTTCTATAGAGGCTAATCTTTGCCTATTAGACAAAAGGATAGCAATTTCGAAATTCTATCTCGGTGGGACATAGATTTCTGTTACCATAAAATTTAGGTCAGCACATATAGCACTACCAAAATGGTGGAATGCTCCTAGTGTTTTGAAGTAGTAGTAAAACACTATTACTAGTCATAGCACATGAGAATCTTATTAGGAAACATTTAGTAGGAAAAATTTATACTAAATTTTAAATGCCAAAGCATTGGGGGAACCCCACCTAGAAATTTAATATTCTGGTTGTGTAGCCCGATCACTGTTTTCTTTTCACGCACAACTTATCGTAGGCGGCTCACCAATCAAGTTCTCACTAGCTAACCCTTCCCAAATTATTTCAACCATCTTTTGTTGTCTTTCCTCTCTCACCGTCACATGCTCGGTCCTAGGGGTGGGAATGGGGTGGTATAGGGTGGCTGAAGATTTTCCTCGCTAGCTGCCAGGCAACGTCAGTGGACGACCGGCCGCCGTCAACGACATGGACTCGAAGCTAAAGAGCGTTGCTTCTTGTGCGGCCAGGATGAGGAGTCTATCGACCATATCATCGTCCACTGCTCGTTCACGAGAGACCTTCGGTGGCATGTCCTCGCGGCGCTGGGAAACCCCTACTCGCGGCCACCGACTCCTAAATCAAATCATCGGATGGTGGAAGCGCCTACGACCATTGTGGATCGACTCACAAAATGGTAATGAGACGTCCGATGCCAGCGACTTTCTCTATACGGACGCGTGGCATGACATGCAACATAACTTTGCATTTTTTTATTCTCTGCTCATTTTCATATCTCTTATCCTCGTCTGGACGTCGCGCCTCATTCTGCTCACTGCTGTGGCGTTCTCCCACCGGCCACCACGCCCTTGACCCTGCGCCGCTCGCTCGCTCCTGTGCCGTCGCGTGCCCCACCTGCGTCGCTCGCTCCTCACTCCTCGTTCCTCTCCTCCACCCATCGTATGCCCCACCCGCACCTCACTTCGGTCCTGCGCCGCCCGCCAGGCTGAGCCCAAGGGCAGTGCTAGTGGTGGTGGATGGTGGTGCTCACGCGCCGCCGCTCGCTGTCGCATCCCACCTCGACGACCAGAATCGACTGGCCCCAGCCTTCCCCTCCCCTATGTTGCAAATATATATTTCAAGTGTTTTAGATGTTTCAGAGGTATGTTGCAATTGTTACATATGGATGTTGTAAGAGTAAATCTAGACGTTGCATATTTCTGCAAGTGTTTTCAGTGTTATGTTGCAAGTGTTTTAAAAAAATGTTTTCAGACGTGTCGGGTTCATAAACCCGGGGTCCCTCATGGACCGGCTTCCCAGCAGAGGCTCGGCCCAGCAGACGACATTGCGAACGACACACAACTCCTAGGCCGGTCCAAATACCTAAAACGACAGGACAGAAGGGCAATCCAGACTCCGACCAGAAGGCCTGGCCGAGAGGAATGGCGCCCACTTCCGACTCTGGCCCGCCTCTCCGACCGGAAGGCCTCGCTTCCGACTCCGGCCCGCCTCGGACGGCCTCTTCGACCGAAAGGCCCGGCCAAACACCACTTTCGACTCCGACCCGCGTCCCCGACCGGGATGCGCTGAACCCCTGCTCACAGCTCTTCTCCAACTGGCGCAGTCAGAGCCGACTGGGACCAACCGACCGGGGACGCCCGCTCTGTAAGAACCAGGAAATGGACAGAGAAAGTAAGATAGGGCGCTCAAGTCAACCGTAATACCAAAGACCGTACCTTGTACACCTGTAGGACAGTACCCTATGACCTTCCCAAGCAGTGTTGTAGGCACCGACATTTTCCCTACAGTGTTGTGGGCGCCATCAAACTCTCATACCAGACAAACAAGATAAGGCTCCCCCCACATGTCTCGGGCATCAACAGTGTTGTGGGCGCCAGCATTTACCGTACCAGGCGAACATGGTAAAACCCCCCGCATGCCTCTCGGCATCAACAGTATGGCAGGCACCAACGTCTGCCATACCAGAAGAACACGACGCAACCTCCCACATGCATCTAACATTAACAGTGTTATGGGTGCCTACAATCATCTTGTACCCGACGGTGTGGGCAACAAGACTTAGTATACGTATACTCTCTCCCTCTCACTTGTAAGGCCATCCCCTTCATCTATAAAAGGAGATGCGCTCTCTCCCAACAGATAGATCGATCAGTTCACTTACATTGATTCACCCTCTATAACTTTAGACACTCTAAAGTTATACAGAGCACACGCTCGGACACTTAGCACATAGCGGAGCTCCCATCACTCTCGGCCCTTCAGACCACAGTCCGACTGGACCTCTTGTACCCCCCATCTTTCTCCCTTCCGTTTGTAACCCCATAGCAAACTTCGAGCACCTGGGCTTAGGAATAAAGTCACCGACCGACTCAAACTGGACGTAGGGCACGTTGCCTGAACCAGTATAAACCCTGTGTCATTGAGTGCTAGGCCACCTCCGATCACAACGTACAACAAAACTATAAATATTTACGTGTTGGTCACTTTCTGCACTGACAGTTGGCGTCGTCCGTGGAGAAGACGTTGTACGTTCACACTTTTGGTCATCGGATGGCCCACTTTTCTGCCACCTTCGGCATGGCGGGCTCAAGCGATACGACTCGCTTCGGCTCACTAGAGTTTCCCACACTCCCACCAGTGGGGATGTGGGTTCCGCCCGTCTTCGAGCCATCCCAGGCCTTCCTCTTCGGAAGCCTGGACTTCATCGCCGACCGGCTCGGCGTACTACACCTCCGCGAGGCGGCACTTGTTCCGGCGCCCGTCGGAGGGGCGCCCTCCATCGGCTCCGAGACACACGACGATTTCAACGATGAGGCGCCTACGCTTCATTCCGAGCAAACTCTCTGCTCAAACCCCGCTGTTAGTAATGTGCATAATGTTATTTACTCTCTATTTACTATCTCCCGTCGATTATCCGGAGGGACCGTATTGTCTGCACCGCAAACACCGTACGACCGGTTCCCCTATGGCCTCGCGTCCCCCGTGGACGCGTACGCTTGGGGGCTCCGAAGGACACTGGCGCCGCCCCCTCTCACATCCGAATTCGTGGGAATGACGAGCTATGATCCCACCACTTCCCACGAACTTCTAGATGACGAGGTTGAGAGCGATGGCTCCAGCATCGGCGACGTGGCACCTAGCCACCGCCCGTCCCGAGAGTGCGCTATGGCGAATGCTCCGGGACAGCCACCGGTGGTTGCGGAGTCTTTGCAGACTCACACCCCTCTAGACCCACGTGCGAGGGCCCTCACGCTTGCACAAGAGCACGCCGAGGAGCTACGATAACGGCGGCAGAACCAACCGTCGCCTGCGTCGGCGCGCTCGGTGCAGCATGATGCGCCCTATGCGCATGGCTCGATGAGCGGCGCCTAGGGTCACGCTCGCCAGGTCCAGCGCGACATCATGAATGAGGGGAACGACCCCCCACAGTTCGTCCGGGCTTGCCAAAACATCACCGCTGCGGCAATGCTTCTGCACGACGTTCTCGAGCCCATCGACCTCCAGGAGCGGGCGGTCTACCAGAACCTCCGGGCGCTGGTGGAAGCCACCGCCGTTCAACAGGTGGAAAGCTCCTTATCGTGGCTCCGACTCGCGCCCTCTCTCCACACTGGGGAGTGGGGACGCACCAGACGGATCGCTCCATCCGCTCACCGCTACAGCCACCAAGTGCGGCTCGGGAGGCCGCGGCTGCGCCACAGTCCGACCTGGCGCCTACTGAAAGGTCCTAATATGGCTAGAGGGGGGTGAATAGCCTATTTAAAAATCTACAAATCAAATAGAGCAATTTGATTAGTATGACAAATAGCGTAATGCAAACTTGCTCTAGCTCTACAAGGGTTGCAAGCCACCTATCCAACAATTCTAGTTGCAATGAATACTTAGGCACACAAACTAGCTATGTAATCACTCACTAAGAGCTCTCAACCTTGCTACTCTAAAGAGCTCAACTAGATGAATGTAAATAATAAAGCAAGCTCTCAATTCTAATTACACTAAAGAGCTTGTATCAACTAGTTTGCAAGAATGTAAATGAGTGAGTAGAGTGATTATACCGACGTGTAGGGGATGAACCAATCACAAGATGAATATATAGCCAATCACCGGGAGAATGACAAAGAAGAGAGACAATCGATTTTCTCCCGAGGTTCACGTGCTTGCCAACACGCTAC